TGTTTGGGGCAATTCGGTAGTTCTTATGACTTTGTTGGGGAGACCTGTGTGTTTCCGGGGGAAATTATTGCATTTCCCCAGGATTTCCGCTAAACAACTGCTCCAAATTTCCTATATGTGTGCCCTTGATTTCATTGCAAGGTGTTTTATTTGTGGACTTAAACTCCTATTAATAACCGTAGAAGCAATCTTCGTGGTGGTTTTTCTTATCGTACTAACTGAAGTCTAGCAAGATGGTTTATAAATATAACTAATACTGATTTGAGTGACTTACTGTTTTACTTTTGTATCCCATTTTACAAATTAATACCATTAGCCGTTAAGATGGTTTTACCTTGTTACGAAATATTTGCAATTAAGGTAGTGCAATTGGTGCAAACTAGCTAAAGTGCTATCTCTAAAGACAGTTATCGTTGGCTAGTAATTCAATACCTGCTTCTGGCTCAATAAAGCTATTTGCTTTTAATTACGAAATCTTTTTTCAGCAATTTTAGTAGAGTTAACAGCTCTGCTTTTGTTTTGAGTTTTACATTTTACTACCTCCTACTGCATAGACCTACAGAGTCATTGGCTATGTAATTACTGGTAGGACTTTATTTACTGCAATCTGTGTATCTACTTGGATTTACTGTACCCTTAAACTCACTTGATAGAGGTCATCGCCACCTACTGAATTGAAAACCGTCAGTCTCTCGGTTTCTTTTTACTGGATTAGGCTTCGTTAACAGTAGTTAATCAGTCGCAGTAGTACAGTAATTGTCAAAATTGTAAGCTAAGATTCGTTGAACTAACGATCTTTGGATTTCGGATCTAAGTTCTGCTCCACACACACACATTAAGTCTGACTCGTTTTCAACTGACTGGAAATAGAGATGGTTGTTCAGTACCATCTCCTTTTTCAAAGTTGTAAGCAAATAATTGAACTTCCACTGTAGTGTGTTGTAAGTTAACTAGGTACAACTAACGCATTTCCTGATTTGTGATTATTAGTCTTTTATCTTCTTATTTATGCAAAACACTGAACTGAAAAATGTTTAATGCACTACAGAATCGTGTTTTTTACTATTTCATTTAGCCTTTTATCTACCTGGGCTCAATATACCACATGTACAGAGAGTTTACTACCAGTCAACAGTGATTATTTGTTTCGATTTCAACACAAAAAGGATTACTTAAACTATATGATAACTAATTGAATTTCCAATGCAAATCGCTGAGAAGCGTCAGTTAGAAAATATAAATACATTGTACACAGCGACTCTTAAGCTGAAACAAAAAATTCAAGATTTAGTAATCAAGCTAGAAACTCAAGTAAGTTTTACTGTGTGTGTACTGAACTAGTTGGCTACCTAACTGCTTGAATTTCAGTATTTAAAGTTTCGCTTTTTTCTACCAGTCTGTTATACTGAGTTTATTGTTGTTGTGCGTCGGTGGCACAGTGGTTAGGACTCTCGCCAACCGTGCATATGGTCCGAGGTTCGAACCCCTGCCGACGCACACCTGATATCTATGGTCGGCCTACCGATATCCATGCTGAAAATTCCATACTTGTACCAAAAATACAGTGTGGAATCAAGCTGTAATAAAAAAGATAGATAAAATATTAATGAAACTAACACTAGTTGATCTAGGCAGTTGACTTTCAGTCAGCAGACCAGAGGTTTTAGCTTTGCTTTGCTAATCAGAGTATAGAAACACAAAATAATTGAGCAAAGAATATCCTTTTCGATAAATTCCTCTGGCTCTACAATTATATATATATATATATATACATAGAATATTCTAGATTAGTAGGCAGTAACAATATTAGTGTTTTTTAAATAATATAGATTTGTAAAGTATGATCAATGCAATTGCAGTTCATTAAAGATGCTTAGATAATAATAATAAAGATATAGTAGCGAATAGAATATCAACTGAAATTAGGAAAATTCCACAAAAATTCATGATCATTCAAACCTAGATGACCAAGGTAATGATAATGTCTGAACTAACTTCTTTTGGATGCACAAATTAGGCTTGTTAATATGGATCCCCACAGCCTCAGCAATATTTAGTAGTTGAACTCTTAAGGCGAAATTGAGATTCTTAGGTCTGCGGTAAATGACCCTGAAAGCATGGTTAACATCAGTTTTGTTTTCTGTATCCACAAGGGGAGATAGAATAGCGCTGCGAATAGATTTTGTTTGCCTTTTGCTTAACTACGCAGGGTGATGTTCGGAAATTTGACGAGAAACACGCCTAACAGTACGGCCTATGTAACTGGCTTCACAAGAGTGACGTTAACCATGCTTTCAGGGTCATTTACCGCAGACCTACGAATCTCAATTTCGCCTTAAGAGTTCAACTACTAAATATTGCTGAGGCTGTGGGGATCCATATTAACAAGCCTAATTTGTGCATCCAAAAGAAGTTAGTTCAGACATTATCATTACCTTGGCCATCTAGGTTTGAATGATCATGAATTTTTGTGGAATTTTCCTAATTTCAGTTGATATTCTATTCGCTACTATATCTTTATTATTATTATATCTAAGCATCTTTAATGAACTGTAATTGCATTGATCATACTTTACAAATCTATATTATTTAAAAAACACTAATATTGTTACTGCCTACTAATCTAGAATATTTTATGTATATATATGTATATATATAATTGTAGAGCCAGAAGAGGAATTTATCGAAAAGGATATTCTTTGCTCAATTATTTTGTGTTTTATAGAGTTTAGAAAGTTGTGTACACATGGTTTATGTGGCATATATCTTGATTCTTTTTTAACCCAAGCTTATGTTTTGAAGAGGTAATACAGAAATCAGTCTCTCGTTAATCGTTCATTCTAATGTTAACTGTTGCCTAGCTAATCGTTCTCTAAACTGTCACATTTCTTGTTTGCTGCTCACCCTTGATATGTACGTTGTGTAATGTTGACAAAATTTACATAGCCAACATGGAGTGTTCTCACTTATACTGAATATGTCACTTATTTGGAATGTTTGTTTTTACATTTTATTGCGTCTACTTTTAAAGGAAAACAAACAAGTCAATGCAGAACAATGCGGTTAAATTCAAGTCTCTATGCTGTGCGTAAATGCAAACTTCAGCCAAACAGTAATCATAATGAACAGTAATGGCTAAGTAAACTGTAGTGAACACATCCGAAACATTGATGATAGAAGGAGACTAATTTTCAGCTGTATCAGAAAAAACTCCAACTTTTGGTTCTTGTCATCTTGTGATATACTGTCATACTCTATTATGCTCTGCCTAGTTAAAATTACGAATCATAAACTTGACTAGATTTTCTTTTATCTCGTAGACAAGAAGTGCTCACCAAAGAAGACTGAGTTAGAATGTTCAAAAAACTATCCTGGTCACCTCACCTGGTAAAGAACTCAGAGTGCATGTGACGCCTCAGCTTTACTTTACTGTCTCCTCAGTTTCACCACACGTAAACTATAGTATGAAGACAGATAACCAAAATCCCGTAACCTCCTCAGTCCTCTAAGACTAACAATTAAACCAAATCTATGTAATATGGCGAGACAGACTTGTGAAATGTACTCATAGTTTGACAGAATGTCAGACATCTGAGTGTCGTCATTTTTTTTATTCCTTCACGTTCCCAGTGGAACAAACGGCTTCAATCCTCTAGCTTGAAATTTCTGTAGCAGTGTTTATTTTTACAGGATGGGTTGCTAGACTCATGCCCAACCTTCCGTCTTTACCAGCTTTTTATTACTGGTTTAGCAAGGTAAAGGACTGCGTCGGTGGCCGGGGATCGAACTTCGGACCATGTGCATGTGCGAGCGTCCTTGACACTGTGCCACCGATGCACGAGTATCGTCATATCTGAATCATTTGAAAAGTCTCAGATCTGCCTTTAGTAGATTTGCTGTTTTCATTAGAGCTACCTGATTAGGGGTAATCTAATTTCCTGAAGTCCTTACACCAATATGTAACTTCAAATGAAGAATCTTCACTTTGCATGGCATACTTACATCATCCACTGAAAATGAGGGGAATCAAGTCATCCATTTTGTTATAGTCTACGACTCTCCAGCACTGCGCATCCAGGATCTTGATATTACTTGGCAAACATGTTGCTGTGTAGCCAGTGAGTCGAAATCCTAATACCCAGAAATTTTAACTTTTTATTTGCTTTTACTATTTTTTCCTCTGCTTCTTTATTTTGTTATTCCTTACTATCTTTCACCATATTTTTGCTATTGCGTAGTCTGACAAATTAAAAGAGTAGATGTTTGTATGACTCATTGTCCTGTTCGGCTTTCCTGCCCTTCTCTACTTTGCAACATTATTTACTCAGCAACTTATAGGCGAAAGTTTTCGATATTTCCTTTTCAATTTCACTAATACATACTTCATTTTGTATTTTGTGTATAGATGCGTTTCTTATCATGTTTTGGTTATTTCAATCGTTTGTTTTCTTTTTAGGGTGATCGATGTGACTGGCCAAGTTACCTGAGTACACTGGCGTTATGTGCATCAGAATTAAGTGAAATTCGTAAAGTACTCGAATCAGAACGTTTTTCAAATGAGCATACTTTAGTACTTACACCAATGGTATTAAATCCTGAACAAGATGCAAATTTAGCTAAAATTACTGAAGAACGTCTTTCACTGTTCAATCATGATACTGTACCTCAATATCTTCGAACTAAATTAGATCCGAAAGTGAGTGATGTAATGAAAATAAATGTAAATTTATAGTATGTTATTATTACTATTGGATTGTTTCCAGCCACTGTATAGTTTACAGAGTTTTGTGAAAGCAATTTATTTACCGATGTAAGTGCAGAACTTTGGCACTATGGCAGAATGTGATTCCACATTAGACAAATTTATTTGACATGACACACAGTGATGTTGTATGAATAACTGGATAACGCTATGAGCAGAATTTATTTCTGGTGATCATATCAATGTATGTATTCACACGACTTCTTGGCTTATTTTGTGTAGTCTCCTTCCCTCTTGTTTGTTTACTACGATTTTTCATATATCCGGGGTGTAGGCTTTTCGGCATTTCTACTACACGTGTTTTGATGTCGATTCGATAAGCAAATGCTTCAGCGAATAACCTCTCTACCCATTTAACTATAGTTCTCTTTAATACAACAATCGATGATACTGATATAGAAATCAAGTCTGAAGTTAAACATCTTGGATTAATTCTTTCTTCTGACCTATCCTGGTCTTCCCATGTCTTAGCGATTTCTAAAAGAATATTTCGTCTGACTGTTTACATTAAGAAGTTAAGGCACTCAGGCATAACTCAACCAACCCCTCCTTTTACAGTTTGTCAACTCGTGTATTTTACCTAGTCTTCTTTACTGTTCACCCTCATTTTTACTGGATTGCTTAAAAAAGACTATGTCATACTTCGTAGAACTCTGAAGACTGTCAGTAGGACGAGTGGTATCCTGTTGGGCCATATCGTTGACATTGTCACTGAAAGGCACTTGATGTCATGCAACAAATTTGATAAAGCAATTTTGTCAAACTCTGAGCACCCACTCTACCCTCAGTTCCAACCTTGTGTCTCCTCAGGTAAAACAAGGAGTCATTTCAGAAGACTTTATGCACGTACGTCTAAATATAAAAATTCCACTATACCATATTTCATGGCACGTACTTTATGTGATGAAAATAGTGTCAGGCATGAACTAACTAACCTTCTTTGCACTACTAAATAAACCATTTCCTCCACTCTTACAACACTAACCTTTATTGTCGTTGTACTTCTTATAATTATAATCCTCTCAATTTTCTTGTTTTTATTTGTTTATTTTCTCAAAAGTGTAAACATCATTTAAGCTGTGTTAATAACTGTTAATTTTGTATTTCCACTCACTTTACTATATCAACAGAACATTAGACCCAATAATCTATAACGTGCTAAAATTTCCAAACTAAATCGACAATACTATTTGAAACAAACACACTATTTCGAATATTTTTGACTTTATATCGTAAACGTAGACAAATTCCTCTGGTTACTTTTGTTTTAATTTTTAATTTTATTTATATTCTGAGTAAATCAGATGCAATATTGTGACAAACGCTGAGAATTCCATTCTGTATCATAAGGACCGATTTTGGAATAAAGTAGATTATTAATATTTCACCCCCTTCCATCCTATTGTGGGATTACTTGCAAGTGAGTGTACTACAATGGCTGAGCTTTTCTCTAAGTTATTGAACTTAGCAAGGTCAGTCATTCTAGGTGTCGCTGTTTTTCATGCATCTGAACTTAAATAAGTGAAGCAGTATTTCAATCCAAAATGTATTAACTGAAAATCAAGTTCACAATTGACTGCTCCGCACCTTCCCCCTTCCTCCATCTAGTAGGAAACGCTTTTGTATTTGAAGAAATGAATGTATGATTAAAATGAAGAGATGCAATTATTGGCCAAGGCATTTGAATTACATATATGTTGGGTCTTGGGTTCAAACCTTCATTTATTGGCCAGCTAGTGTGTCGTAAGCCCTCACGAGTTAATTGCGTCTTGCAGTCAAATATACAATCTCATAACGTACCGCTTAGTTGGGTCGTTCGGTGAGCTTAGTTTAATGAAACGTTACACTTGAATATATATATATATATATATAATTAGTATCAAAAGATGTCTCATCATAGAGCCTTATTTCATGCTAACACATAACCCTTAGGTATAAAATGAGTTAGTTGTATTCTCCTTAAATTATCCTTCTTCACACTTTATAACGTGTTGTTTTAAAAAACGTAAGTATTATGATGTGCTTGCTCTAGCACACTAGTCAACAAATCACATTTTTCATGTTAAAAATAATTATACTACACAGCAGCTCAAATTTCTGTAAACAGAAAAATACCGTTTTGAATCCTTATTCTTTGGTTGAAAGTTGAATATATAAGTATTCACATCAACAAGTCACAGTGTGTATTTTTGTATTGTCCTACTTGTTAGCTTACTGTCAAGGTATCAATTATGTTAGGCAATTATCTGTTCTAAGAACTGACTTAATTAGACGTTTGTGGAATGGAGTATAAACTACGGTTTCATTGCTGATATTTTAGGCACATTAAATAAATATAAACACGATTTAATAATCAAACGATAAGCTAAGCCTTTTTAATAACTCCCCGTGGTCTTCGTTAAATATCAATGGAATGATTGTAGGACAAAGAACATTCCTTTGAATAACTTGATTATCAAGTTCTACTATTATATATACATAATTCTGAATTAATTACTGTTATTAACAAAATTATTGTTGTTTAAATAACATCGAATCAGTAATAATATCAATGGATTAGAGTTCGATAGCATCAACATAACAATACACTGAATATCAGAAAAGTTAGGATAGATAATAATACATTTTCATGAATTTATAGTCTCCACTAAAGGTTAGAGGAGTAGAAGTGGCTGGACTTGCTTCTTCTGCTCACAGAGCACCAACTGTTTCAGGCGAATCGCGATAGCCTCAGCTGTTTGGATTCTGCGGTACCTGGATGTTTTTAGCGATTTGTTTGATACCCAGTAGATGATAGGGAACTATTCTTGAATACTGGCTTTGTGGTCGGTTTGGACCAGGTGTATTAATATCGAGCTATTGATGCTTCTCACTAAATCTTTAGTTAGCCACACTGGTAGGTTTTCCTGAGCGAGCACGAAAAATCAAATTCCTAGAGCAACAGCCAATATAACTCGCTCCACAAACGCAGTTGAATTGGTAGATAATATAATTAGAAGTGGCTAGTGTAGGTACTTCATCTTTCAATTGGGGAATCATCACCGGGTAGTGTTGTTAATAACACTGATTCATTCACTATTATATATGTATAAATGTAGAACCTAATGAAGAAGGGGTTATCGAAAAGAATATTCTTTGTTCAGTAACCATTCTTTTGAACAAAAAGGCGACCCTGGGCTTCCCGAGTCGTTCTCCATAAAAAAAGTTAAATGTATAAATGCACATTCACCTGATGCAGCAAAGAATGTTTTAACTATTATTTTTAGGAGGTTCGATGCCAGTAATTCAATGGTTGCGTCATATATATATATATATATATATATATATATATATTATATATACGTGTCATCTTGACACTTTGCAGTCATTTCTCTCTGTCTTTCCTCATCATAGAAACTATAACAATTTTTTTTCTGGATATCCGTTCTCATATAATAGGTTTTCCATTTTACTTAGATAATTGAGAATTGGTTGTAAGTTAAAGCGTGTGAATCGATCAGTCTTGTGAGGAATTTTTGTGTGTGCGTAAAACTGTTTTGCTCTTCTTAATTTTGTTGAAAATTGAATAAATCTCTGGATATTTTCTACGTCAAAAAGATTTAATATTAATGTATTTATTATTCTTTCAATATACCCTTCTCTGTCTATCTTTCTCTGAAAAATATTTTAGGTAGAAAGTGAATGTTCCTCTCAAGTTACACGAGCTTCTGGTATACCATCTGAACAATTGAATAAATTAATTAATTTAACAAATCGTGCAATTGATTGTAGCCTAAAAGAAGTTAATTTATTAAAACAAGATCTTGAAGTGGATTTCTCTGATCGTCAAAATAAAATTACACCAAATCTAGATGATTTAACTACATTTATAAATATAATTTCTGGTAAAAAAGGTTTAAATATTTCTAGTTTATGATAATTTTATTCACTCATGCTAACTGTATTTTTATCTTATTTTCCAATAAATGTAAATATTTTATAGTATTTTTGATGGCCCGCCTCTTTTGTTTTTTATAATCGAGTTACTATTAAGATGTAGTATAAATAATGCGTTATCTGTCGGTGATTCAGTGCTTGTCAGTCAGGCAGAAGGTCTGGGTTCAATTCTCAGCTGACGCACGCCTAAATCTCGCTTAGTTTACTAACCTGTAGTAAGCCCAGGAAAGAGTAGAGGTTGGTCGTTAAGCCCTTACGACTGCCCATAAGCTGCCGTAATGTGAGGCGGAGATGAGTGCCTAGGGGCAATCGTGAAGTCAGCTAAAGGGGACTGTAGAAAACAGGTTTAAATGAAGATGTGCTGTTGAAGTCCCCTGTGCTCCATTAGGAATCTAATGGAATAATTATGATATAATTCACCAAATACCGGATAATCTTATTGGATCGACTGGTGAGTGCACTTGGGATTTCGTCATTACTACCGTGAAGATTGATCATAATCACTCAAACGTGAGATACGATTCATAAGAATAAGTTGGACAATAGATGTTTGTTCAGATTACAATCTTGTTTCTGTTTAAAATGCGTTGAGTTGCGATCCGGCCTGTAAGCGTTATCTCACCCAAAAAAGTAATGAAACACCGGTTAAATAATAAACCACTGATACTGGCTTTGACCGTAAAAAATAAGCAATGGCTTTTGTTACTTCTTACTTTTGTGCCAAAAACAACTTTTAGTTTCATCAGGTGAGGGGTCGTACAACTAGAAATCTATCTATCCAACAATTTACCTTAGTCACTTGATGGACAAATGATGTGGTACGTCCGATGATGAATCAACTTCAATCTTTCCTTCAGAATGATCGTTAGTCGCCACTGTTATACCAGTCGTATTCACCGCCTACACTTGTTGCGAAGGATGTTCGTGCGGAAGTGAACAAATGTCTAGTGTCTAACAACGAGTTTGTAGTTGAAAAGCTGTGCTTCCAGACGCATGGTTTTCAGAATCCAGAAAGGTTAAATGAGACGCGGTGGCGTTTTAGTCATCGAAAGGCATGGGGATGTAGGCTGAGATATTTTCCTGTTGCCTAATTACTTCGACTTTAAGTCAGCGGTTCATGTCGTAATGGAATTGAGCGCTATCTAACAGTTGGCTACTATGGGCCGACAATTCATTAGAGATCTCAGTTGCACTCGCTCGTCACATGTGCTAGTGGTCAGTCGTTTACGCGTTCGGTCACTTAGTTCATTGTCATTCTTTTTTAGTTGATACCTTCATAGAGGGACTGGCTTGATTTATTTCCATCGTTCTTGTTTTCGTTAAAATCCTTATTTTCGTCGGCCGCTCGTTATTGCCATACATCTCCGTCGCTTGTTAGTTAACTTCGTGAAGCTGACCTGCAGTGCAATGTCTAACACCATGCGACACGTCCCAGCTTACAACTTAAAAATTTTGCACACTGATGTAGATCGAACAACAAGCTGGTTCTACCCGAAAATCCTCCTTATTGGTGTATGCTTATCTGATCCGTGCGCTCACAAGATCTTCGAAAAGTGCTCCCAATAATGCTCTCAGATGTCCATTCACAGGAAGAACGTCTAATAATGGATATCCAACCCGGCTGGTGTCTGCAACGCATTTGGTGATGAAGTCGAAGCTGCATTAGTTTACTTGAACTCCACTAGCACTTAAATATAGCGCGCTAGTGCAAAGAAAATGTTAGGGTAAGGAGCAACCCTCTAAAAGGAAGTTGGCATTCAGTCATATCTGCCTACTCACAGACCTGCAATGCATCTACCAGTGTTTTCAGTTTTGTTTTAACATATACATACATGGACTCACTCGAGCGCCGTTTCATGGCATTCCGTCCTGTTATTAGCGAACGCATTCTCGAGGTTCGTAATTCAGCCATACTAGTCAGATAAACTGTAAGTCCTTTTCCTTGATTGATGTCAACTTTTTGTTTTATTCGGACACGCTACTTGTCAGGCACATCACCAACTAACTCAGTCTTTTTAACTTCCCTTACAGTTAGATAGAGTAATGATTTACTTGGCTATTTAAGCAAACTGCATTTAGTAAGGGCTACTATAGTTCGCCTAATGGATAGTACCCTATATACTTATCACAATCCAAATGTTTTTAAGGATGGTTCTTGCCGTTAACTAAGATGTCGTACTGCTATTTTAAGTCCCCAGATGTGGTTAAATAGCCGCAAATCAGATGACAGTGAATATATTTTTTTGCAGACCTACATTGATTGTAACCCAACACCAGTCAGCACCAAGTTCCTCGACGGACTTATGCGGTGCTGTTGAGTGCTTTCAGAGAACTTTGGTCGAAAATCTAACATTCGCTGAAATTAATTTCGCCTTCCTCACTGACTCTGAGAATTGGCTTTAATCTATGTATCAGTGGATTGTCTGTTTATTGATTCACCCACTGCTGATCTTGTATTTTTTGTACATGTTTAAATGCCGAGAAGAACTCCGTATATTCAAACTCTACAAACCACACAATCCATCTGAATATTGCAGGTAGAACTCGACTGGCAGCTGAATAGATTAACCGGACTGCAGGAGATATTCGGTTTGTTACCAATGTTTAACTGTGGCCTTCAATGTACCTACTCCGAAAACGGGCGTGCGCAATCCATGTAGTAGTAATTAGGTCTCACCCTCTTGCCAGTTGCATCTATCTGGGCCTTATGATTCTTCATCAACCTAGCAAAACAATTCAAGAATCGGATCACATGAAGCTGTTTGCGTTTCCTCCAGGAAGTGCATACGATGTCCACCGTTCAATTTTCCCTGGTTGTCGAGGTGGGCTGATTAATTCTCAAAAGTGAATAACAACTCAAATGACCTACATGAATCAACTCTTTCGTGAGATGGTATTCTGGTGGATGATTCTTTGGCATATAAAGCAGTGTGGACTGGGTTTGAATCTTAGTTCGAGAGTCATCATACTAAGAGCCGACTACCTAGTTAGTCTCAGATAGGACGAAATGTGAGTCCTGGATTCTACTGCCATCTTTTATCAAACGTCTGCGTGATTTCCATCTACAAACAACGGGTTGTATATTAGCCCTTTCAGTCAATATACAGATAAGACCAGTTGATGCACTTACTACAGAATTTTCACTGTTAGTTACAAAGCTTAGTGTGTCGGCAAAAGTGGATACGAAAAGATCTCCAGCTATTCGTGTTTGTCCTCTGTAATGTGGTTTACAAACATTCTGTCGGCGTGTCCCACAAGATTAGTCATGATGGTTAATTATTTCATTCAGCCTGTTATATCATTAGACTCGTCATTTATACATAGACGGTTCGTAGTCGGTAACTGCTCATTTGAGTAGCTCTGTTGTCAATGTCCAGGTCTTACTACACTGGACCTCACAATGTCCTTGGAAGGCTTTCAGAAACTATGCGTAATAACTAACACGAAAAATCAGAACGCGAATTGGTGACTCGAGGACCGTTTATTCTTGCATTAATACAGAGCCAGCCATTAAGCTACAGTACACAAAGTTTTTGATGGTTTTCTCTTTTCCAACGAACGATGAGACGATGACTACTGGAATGATGACTCCCGCAAAAAATATGGAGTTGCATTTGAGCAAACACCCATGAATTGATCGTTCAATCTTCAACTACATAAACATCTGTTCTTGTTTACAAGAAACCAGTACTAGCGTTTTTGAGTGCAGGGCTAAAATATCTGTTAATCCCTACAGTAATGCAGTAAATGTTAAGGATTCCGTGGATTGACAGTTTTTATCATGGTACCTACTGGTTTGTGTTTGGCATAGTGTAACAAGATATAGGTTGTCTTCTGGCGATAGCCTCATTCAGCACATCGTTGTTTCATCCCAAGTATATCCTAAGGGATTTTGACCACACAGACCTCCTATGTTTTCGCTTTTCTCACCTGTACTCGTTAAGTTCGAATCCCTGCTGGGGTTACTGGTGTGGTTCAGACCACTGAAGCGACTTCTACTACGGCACTTGGTCGTAGGTGGTCCAGTAAGAGTATTCTGTTTCTTGAGGGATTTTTCGCATCACTATGTTCTCAGTGTTAGTTTTTCTATGGTGAATGTTATAATGAAATGTTAGCCATTTATGATCATCACTTAACTTGACTAGGATGCTACTCCTGACATCACAGTAAAACTACCTGATCACTTTTAAATATTCCCAAAACTGAGGTAGACACAGAAGTCCCATTTAACCACGACAACCATGACAAATGTCATATTATTCAGAATATAGGATGTATATAGTCTATAAAACCTTTGAAAGATTCAAGTTTAAAGTAAATCAAAATACAGTCGGTTATATGATCTTGAAAATCACCCAAAACATGCCAGTCAAAAGCTATCCAATCAGGCCATCATGTCAGTGCATGCACTAGTCTTGACTGCGCAGGAAACAGTGATAGGTTGTCCGTCCTAACAGGGTGTCCTGTACACGAAAACCTTATACTTCGTAGTGCATCAATATTAGCAAACAATTTCAGATTTATATCAGGCCTGCATGAAGATAGCGCTGACTCAGATGAAATCAGCACTACCTTAGGGTTGTGTATAGACCTCTTCAATTCCACAATACTAGGTGTTGATGATATGTGCTTCCATCCGTGTCGTTTCTTGTCGGTTTTAAACCTGTTCCGCCACATCGCTTTTTTAACCACTGCCTTCATTAGTTCGAAATTCGTGTATTTTGGGAAAAACCTGCGCCAACAATGGTCTATTGCCTCTAAGTGCTTTATGCGTTAAGAAGCAAATAGGACAACTACAGTAAACTGGAGTACGTGTCCATGAACTTCAACATCTGGGCTTGTTAACACGCAGATATTCTTCTCTGTTTCGTCGTGTTCATCTGATATGAATTTTTTATCTAAGCTAAGTTTCAGTTTTAAACGATCCGTCAATATAGTTGAAGATTGAACGATCAATTCATGGTTGTTTGCTCAAAACCA